ACTCCCAAGTCCTTCTCTTCAGAGCTGTAATACCACTACAAGGTCCAGACCCTTAAAGATACCCAGGTTCCTAATGCCCCACTGAGTTTGAGCATCTGGGCCTTGTGAGCAGGTATTTCATAAACCATATAAGAGCTTCCTTCAAGAGCAAGAGAAAAATTCTGACAGCTGAGACTGTCTTGATGCTTCTCTGTCTGAAAGTGCTTTTTGTGTTTTTTTTTCTCCCTTTCCTCAGCCACTGAGCATCTTTGATGTCCAGTTTCTGAATGCAGTTGGAGACCTGTTGGACCTAATTCCAGCATTATTTGAGTATTCTACACGGAGTGGACAATGCAACGTGGAGCCAGGAAGCCATGGGAAATATCAGTGGGATATGGGTCACTGCTCTGCACTCATCAAGGTGAGCACCAAGAACTTAATCTCCAGTGACTGTGTTGATTTGCAGTGCCATGAGTTGATCCTTCTGGAATCTTCACTGATCATGTTGCACGCGCATAAAGAGACTCCTGTCCATCAAGGTGCTTTTATGCAGTTGTCACTTGTGCCTCTATAGGGTTCTGGGTCCACTTTTGCTCACTTGTGTTCAAGGGCAGGGAAAAAAACAAACCAAAACCACAGAGACTAACAACGAAAGCTACTAGAATTACTTGGGAATGGGGAACTGCTGTGGGCAGGAGACTGGAAGAGAATAACTTGTTTTGCCCCAAACCAAAACCACAGAGACTAACAATGAAAGCTACTAGAATTACTTGGGAACGGGGAACTGCTGTGGACAGGAGACTGGAAGAGAATAACTTGTTTTGCCTAGCCAAGTGAAGTTTGAAAGGGAGTATTGTGAATGTCTACAAATACATTGGGCAAATAAGCAGGGACGAAGGAGAAGAGGATTACTTAAACTAAAGGACAGTGCTAGTGCAAGAAAAAAATGGGTGCAAGTGGCTGATGTTTTCTAAGTGGTAACAGTGCCACTCTGAAATGGCTTTCCAATGGGAGTAATGACAAAAAATACTTATAAATTAAGTGTCTGATACATCATAGCGGCAATTAAATTTTTCAGTTAAAATTATCAAGGATATAGTCAGCATATGGAGACTCCATGTATCCTAGAGAAACAACATTCACCTTAAATTGAGAAGCATTCATTCAAGCATTTGTCCTGCAGCAAGAGGTTTCTGAGCTAACAACAAATCTTAAAATCAGGGAAATACTTTGAAAAGATGTACTATCAATATATATTTACCTTTTCAAAATGAATTTACCTGCATTTGCTTTCTTTAAAGTCACCCAGAGGCATTTTCACAGAAACAGCATATTCTAAGTTAAAGTTGGATATGTTTGCAGAGAGCTGATCTGAATGTGTAAATACAAGTTCAAGAGGAAACCAGGGAAAAAAACCATACCATGTGATGCAGGTGTCCCAAAAAACCCTAAGCTATTTCCTTTTGAAAAATAACAACTAAATATTTGAAAACAACACACGGGGAAGAATTATTTGTAGAGGTTTCAGAAAATCATTGTTAAGTACACAGTTAAAAGCACAAGAATTTGCTCCTTCTTGAACAATGCAATTAATCAAACTACTTAAAACAAGTTGTTCTCCCAGTTTCTATCAAGTACAAAACATGCAGAGTGTAGTAGGGTCTGAAATTATTCATCTTCCTGCTTCTGTTTTCTAGGTTCTACCAGGATATGAGAATATATATTTTGCCCATTCTAGCTGGTTTACATATGCAGCCACACTGAGAATATATAAGCATTGGAACTTCAATATAGTTGATCCAGACACTAGTACCAGCCGTGTCTCATTCAGCAGTTACCCAGGTAAAGAAAAGAAAACCAAAACAATGTAGATATTGAAGGTGGCATGAGCCACCTGACTGTCTTGCAGATGTCTTGTCTATAAAAAGGATGATACCTCAACAAGCACTGCCTTCAGTCTACCTTAAAACTTTTAGCCACTGAGAGGAAAAAATGTTGTCTTCAGTTTCTGGCTTGAATGTGATGTTGCTGTCGTCATCTTTTGTTGCTGATTAATCACCTTCAGTGCTCTGAATAGTACTAGTTAAATATTCTACCTCTGGAACAAACCTGCTGCTTTGAATTCTGCTCCTGTAGTCTGCAGTCATCTCAGCTGTTGAACTTCTCACCTTGCCTGTAGCGTTCGCATGTTTGGTAATAACAGTTTTGAACACTTCTGTTTACCATTGTGGCATGACTCGTGCAGTAATGGGGTTATTAGAGAGTATGAAACACTAGCCATCTGAAATTGTATCGACTCCTTTGGTGTTGGTTTAGCAAACCTTCAGTTGGTTTATTTTCCCCACATCTCCCTCTTCCAGCTTCTCTATAAGCTGTTGCAGAGGGGAGTATTTTTAATGTTTTTTTCATGTGCTAGTAATATAGCTAGACACAATATTTAAAATCTCCTTTGGGAAGATTAGTCAGCATGTAATATCCTCAAGTTTCTTGGAAGAATGTTGGAAATTGCCAGCAGTTAGTGTTTCAGTTGTAAAATCTGTACTCTTGATAGAGGAGCACCAAGAAATGTGAACATGAAAAACCAAAGCAAACCGAAGACGAGTGAGTTAGTATTGTGTAAGTTTTTAAAAGTGGAATTTCAAATTAGAAAATACCCAAACACTCAGTCTTCATAAACTTTTTAAAGTGAAGTATGTGCCATAGGAGACTGTCTCAGTCTGATTAAATTTTGTTGGTTGATGATTTCAAAATGTGCTTTGTTGAATTACTGTGCTTGCCTTACTACAAAGGCAAGGGTTTTTCATGGCAGGAACTCCTGGGACTGGGAAACTGTTTTGAAAAGCAGTTGCATTAATTTCAAATTGAAAGCAAGTTTTTTATCTGTGGGGTTCTGACTCTCCTTCAGTGACCCTCAGGAGTGCAACATGTTCTAACAACTGAGATTTTTGAGGAAGGAGTAGAAGTATTTTGGCGAGTGCCTGTTAAGTGTACAGCCTTTCAAGAGCTTGGGTTGTCTCTGATTCCCTTGGAGGAATTTCACTCACTTCTTGTAAGGAATTTTGCCAGCGCTGTGTAACCCGGTAGAAAGCCGAGGTTTCTCTCTGAGCTCTATTCATCACCTGAATGTGCAGAAGGTCATTCTGGATCTTGTATCTCTCAGCAGAAATACTGCTGAAGATAGTTCTATCTTTTGGGAAAATGGGGCTCTGTTTTGCAACTGTTGCCTGTTGCATTGTGCTGCAGATTCAAAACTGGGGATCAGGATCAGCCGTGCAGAGCATTTATGATTTTATTTTTAGTGAGTGTCTGTGATGATGTCTCTGGCTTGTTCCTTTTGTGGATTCTTTGTATAAAGTGAAATACAAGTCTTCTGTTTTGCTGAGCCTGAGAAAGCTAGCTGTATGGGAGGATACCTGAAAATCAGCTACTGCTATGCTGAAATGGTTGGGATCTGTTCACTAGTGTGTAACATCCCAGCGCGCTTCCTGGAGACTGAGGTCTGCAGAGATGGCTTATTTTGAAGCTTGCTTGTGCCAAGTGGACTCTGACACAGTGATGTGGTAAGGTGTGCTTCTACCAACACAATTCAGGGAGAACTGTTGCAAAACGTAGTTCCTGTGGCTACAGTGAAGTTTGAGAGACCTGTGATATGCAAAGTATACTCAGTGGCTGCCTAATGACAGGGTACTGTCACAAGCTCTAGAGGAGCATGACCCATTGACTGCGGCAGATTGCATTAGCTGTGGGTGTAGTTCACAAACTTGCAGTTTTCCAGGGGGTGAGCATTCTCTAAAGCACTGGCCTGGTAATGATCATGCATGAATGAGGGAACTGCCAAATTCCCCTGCTCCATGTTGTGATGAGGTGAAGCCTTGCATTTTCGGGGCATCTGACCATAGAATATGCAGGTCCTGGCCGTGGCTCCACTTGAGAACTAACTTCTCCCTGCATGGAAGTTCCCACTCTTATTCTCTGTCCTGATAGACACTAAGAACCAGTAAGAAAGACCAGGCTAGGAAGCTTCCCTGAATAGTAAGTAACATGATCCTAATTAGGTAGAAATACTGACTTTTGAAGGAAATGAAGAGCATTAAAAGACAGGTGTCCTTCCAGGCCTTCAGTGACACCAAACTTAGTAACTAAAAGATTTCCATTATCCAGTAGATTGGATATGAAGTAAAACTCTTCTGCTGTCCAAAAGCTGTGTCAGAAAAGCTTTGAGGAGTCATTTGCCTTCTCAGAAGGAATGTGCCAACTCCCTGATTTCTCCTGGGGTCACAGAGTAAAATTGTGTAGATTGGTTATTTAGTGAATTTCAGACGACAGGCTACTGCACTGCAAAAGTTAATACTTGTTGTGACTCAAAGGATCTAAGGCAGCTCACTAACCATGAGGCATGTGAGCACGTGCATTATGGTACTGCTAGAGGGCCTTGTGCTTCCTTGCTTCTGCTGTGACTGAGCAGGTAGGACAGGCAGGAATTGCAGAGCCTATCCCTGTTTTCCCAGCAGTTCCCCACATTCCTGCCAGCGTGCTCAAACATCACTGTTGCAGCATGTCCTCTCTTAGCTGCTCTCTTGTTTTCAGAGCAACAGTACTGCTGCAAAGGCACAGTCATGTGGAAATGAACCCTAGCAGTAATCTCTGCTTTTGTGGAATGATTTAGCCACTTGCTGCTTGTTTCCACACTAATTCTAATCTTCACTTGAACTCTGCTTAGAGTTTTAGCTTTCTTTTCTGTTGAAAGCAGAGAGAACTTAAATTATACAGACATATACACAGGTGCTCACAAATGTTGAATGACGTTCTGCTCATTTTGTGGGGGGTAAGAAATGCGATGACAGGCTAGGCAGCTGCTGTGTTTTGCAGGATTTACATAGTAAAAGGTTAAGGAGAAAGCCCCTCCCGCAAAGACACGCTATGCAGTCACTGCTCTACACTGCCTCATTGGGGCATTCAAAGAAATGAACCCCATTAACTGATGAAATTTGCAGTTTCCCTTGGACAGCAGAGAGGTTGCAGCTTCCAAGTTTCCTGTCTGTTTGGATGGACTGCTTCTTGAACAGTTAGTTTTGAACCCCATTTAAGAAAGGGAACCTATCAGTTGGACCCAAGCACTCTGATTTGGGTAGCAACCTGCTTTCTCTGGGCTGAGCCACAGTTCTGTTAAATACGTTACTCCGATTTTATCTGTTTAAGCAAAGCAGTTAAGAAGGACTTTATTGTGACCTTTGCTCCTCTGGTCTGCTGTCATGATTTTGCTTGTTTGAGACAGGCAGTGACTTGGGAACAAGATGACACAAGTTGTCTTGATGAATGGCTATTTGTGTGGTGCTGAGGCAGGAGAGAGAAGTAACGTGTGTCCCTTGCTTTGAAGTAATCTGGTGTTACTGCAGGATCAGAAAGTGCAGCATTATCCTTCCTCACAGCCTGAGCAAGAGCTAGGAGGAACAAAACATGGAAAGGGTGGTAGTCCTTGTATTCCAAGGGACCAGCTTGCTCATGAGGTATTGCCAGACCATTTCTTGCTTCCCTGCTCCCTCCAACATCTGTCTAAAACCTGGAGGGAAGCAGAAGAAAGTGTCTAATGCACTTTGGAGGTGAGAAGCCAGAGCTATAGTGTGGGATGTGCTATTTCTTAGTTCCTAGGAAAGGTCTGCAAGTGGAAGTAAGGAAGCTGGTGAGAGTTCAGTCTTGGCATGAGAAGCAGCTGCTGATGGGATTAAAAAAACTAATCCAGAGAAGACATCTCCTTTCCCATTGTCAAGTGTGTTTACAGCCCAGAGCATTAAGCATCTTAGCCAAGAGCTACTCTCATCCCTGTGAGGTGATTGCTAGACCTCATGTCTCAGACTTCCAGCCTATAATACTGACACTTTCTGTACTTGAATAGTAGAGACCTTTAAAAATGCCAAAAAAGCCAATGCCATCTGGTTCAGAAAGCAGCAACCTACCTTTTTAGGAACAAGAGCTGCCAGGAAGGTGTTACCCTCCACGTACTCTTTGGTGTGCTGACTCACTGGACACTGTGGCTCAGATTTCAAAAAATATTTTGCTTTGCTTGGCTGATTAATATTGTCATGATGAATGAAATTCCAGACTCTGGAAACTTCAGTTTTCCAGTGGTGATTGGAAACTGAATCTAAGTAGCTCAGACCCAGAAGATGCAATCAGAAGTGCTTTTGCTTGTTTCTGTGTAGGAAGAGTCAGGTTCATTGGAGGTGAGGGAGAGGAAGAAAAAGAAAAAAATTGGTTGAGAGTTGCTGATAAAAATGGGATATGGATTTATAGGGAAAAAAAGGTGAGCCACACAGTGGAATAACAGTTGACATAAAAGGCCTTTTCAATTACAGCAAATTCTCATACATACTTAAAAAGACAAGAATGACACAAAAGGACATCAAATATCTGCTGATATTTCTCGGCTTCACTCAGGTTTCATTTTTGTGGATGTCTTTGCCCTGGGTAAACCTGTTGTATGTGTTTAACTTCCCTTTGTTTCAGGAGTGCCTATACCTTAAGTCAAAATGGTATATGTTGTCTGGGAATGATTAGGCTAGTCATGGTGTATGATGGAGGGCATGAAGTACTATAAAACATTGCAGGATAAAGCTTGGTAATACTAAGGCCCAGAAGGAACCCCCCTTGTTTTCTGCGTAGCTGAGCTTTGCAATTTATTTGAATTAGAGAGTTAAAACTTCAGTTAATTCGCCATCATTCCTTGTGTTGACACTGTCCTGGGTTTTGGAAAACTATTTTGTTTATTTTGAAGTAGGGCACTTGGCATTGGCACCCACATGGGAATTAGAGTTCAATTTGAATCACAGTTGTCTAACAATTTCATTTCTTATCTCTGTTTGGGCAAGCACTTGACTCCTTACACAACAGCTTATCACTGGAGTATCCCATGTCTTCATATAAAATAGACTGGCAGAGCCAGGTTTGGAGTGTTTCTCTTCTTGTCCTTACTTAATTGAGAGAGAACTCTGCTGTTGATGTATGTAATTTATTGACATTCTTTTTGTCTCCAAGAATAAAATACTATGAACCACCAGCTGCTAGCCTGCTCTGCTTCTTCTATACAGACATACTTTTAGAGAACAAGTGACCACAAAGTATATTTTTCTGGATCTGTTCTGATTTGAGAACTTGAGACTTCAAAGAAATCTTGCTGAAACAGAGCCCTTAAACATTACTTTTGCTTGAAGGAGGTCTGCCTTTTGATGAAAGCCCAGGAACAGGAGGCAGAGCTGAGATGTCTTTCTGGCTGTCATAGGTTTCTGACCTTAGTCTGTTTGCAGAGAGCATTAATAAAGCTTGCTGGAGAAAATTTCATAGCAGAACTCAACTTTTACGCTGTTGTGCAGCATTTTAGCATTTTCTAATCTTTGAAAAGTGATACCATTAAAAACTCATTAGCAAGAGACCAGGTTCTGGATGACTTCCCCATCAGAAGCTCAGTTAATAACCTTTCTTCCCCAGCCTGGCAGTCCTGTATCCCCTGGGGAATTTCAAAGTCAAGTTATTTCTGCTTTGCAAGTAGTCACCATGCTATCCATGGCATTATAGTTGACCTTTGCAGCTCTGTATACTACCTCCTGGTGTGGGATCTGCATTTGGACCTAGTATTTCTGTTGGCATGTAACCTGGAAGGGAAATCTGCCCAGACATCCGCTGCTGCATTGAGTTTGCAGGGCTGATAGGCATAAAAAGCCAATGACAAGATGTCAGAAAGAGGAGTAGGTAAAACTTTCTCTCATATATAGGATGTTGTTTATGATTTAAGAGGTGCCCATTTCTTGGAGATACTTTTAAGAATAGTTAGACTAGAAAATATTAAACTGGAAGGAAGCTTTTTATGCATGGCTTGTTTTTAGTCTGGAAGGGATTAATTTAAAGGAATACCTGTTGTCCTTACAGAATAAAAATCTAAAGCTGCAGCTGGTTGAAAGTCTTTTTGTGGAGTTTGTACTTTTTATTTTCTTTGTTCTGTTTTTTTAAAGTAATTTATTTGTTAGAAACAAACACTCACTAGCGATTTACGGTATTTAATCCTCAGCATAAGAATAAGACACATCTTGACATATGAAGGAGAAACTTCCAAGCTTGGAATGCAAACATGAAGCGAATGCTCTAGACAAAGGATTAGGTTGTGTGTTGAAAGCATGACAAACTATAATCCGTGCTGACAGATGGGCTTAAAGCACTTGCAGAAGTTGCCACCTCATCTTTAATATTTGTACAATTTGATTTCAAACACACACAGGTTGACTCATGAATACCCTCTTGACTTGTCTCTTTGTTTTGTTCTATGAGTATATCAAAGGTTCACAAAGATAACTCATTTTGTATTGTTGCTGTTTAAGGCTTCTTGGTGTCCCTGGATGACTTTTACATACTGGGCAGTGGCTTGGTAATGTTGCAGACTACCAACAGTGTGTTCAACCAAACCCTCATTAAGCAAGTGGTGCCTGAATCTCTGTTAGCTTGGCAGAGGGTCCGCATTGCTAACATGATGGCAGATGGTGGCAAAAGTTGGGCAGAAACCTTCTCGAAGTGCAACTCTGGTATGTACACTTTCATGAGAGTCTTAATAAAAGGGATGTGTTCCCTCTCCCCCTTGTAACCTTTTCCTTCCCCAGGCAGGACACAGAACTCTCTCTTTGCTCTCATACCCAGGGACCTACAACAATCAGTACATGGTGCTGGACCTGAAGAAGGTCAAGCTGCAGAAGAGGCTTGATGATGGTGCATTGTACATTGTTGAGCAGATCCCAACTCTTGTGGAGTATTCTGATCAAACAAATATTCTCCGGAAAGGTAATAGCTCTTATAGTCGTTACTGGCTTAGGAAAGCCATCTCTCTGTGCCAGCTGATGGAGAATTGTTCTTTTTACCTGGGAAGGGTTTATTGAACACTTGTGCTGAGTTTCAAGTTAGAAAGCTTTGTGTGAGCATCCCTCTGTTGCCAGGTCCATAACGTATTCGTTTCTCCTGTATGCTGTGGCAGAGATGTGGTGAGCATATCTACTTCTTAGAACAGGGGAGGGAAAAATAGACCTTGCTTGCTTGCTTGCTTGCTTTTCTTGCTTTGTTTCTGGTGTTATTTTGCCCTGTCTTGGAGACCCATGATGAAAAAGGTGGGGCCTGTTTGAAGCAGTACTAAATAACTATGCTACTGTGGACCACTTGAAATGTTTGGTGAGGAGATGAGATTTTAAATAATAGAGAAGTTCTATGGTAGATTCAGCTCCTGAAATTTTCTGGAGCTGTGTTATCTGATAAATATTTGCTGTTAAATTCCCCAGCAAGACTAGCAACAAGTTGATGGAAAACAAGCAAACAAAAATATAGGTAAAGCAAAACACCACTGTCAGGTTTCATTCACAAGTGTTCTCTAGATGCTTTATGTCAGCATCCAAAAGCCTGAGCTCGTTCCACAAACTTAAGTGTATGTCTGCTGCTTTGTGCTTCCACTTCTAATCATGTGCTCAGGAAGTGAATTAATGAATTGATCTTCTTCATCAAAATGACTGAAAATGCATTTATGTTAGCAGATGGGGTTGTTTCCCTTTGGAATCTTTCCTTGTGTCTTACTGATAATTTGGAATAATCCCGTGTCTCCCCCTTACGCTTCTCCACCTCCTTTATCTGTTGGAGATGTGAAAGTAGGCTATTGTGCCTTATCTCCAACATTGGTGTGTACTTCAGATGGTGAAATGTGTTGGGCTCCTCTGGGGTGTGTTGTGGATTGTGGAGCAGAGGAAAAAAACCAAAAGCTAATGGAGTCCTCTCTAGGTCTAATGGAGTCCTCTCTAGGTCTGGCACTTGAAGCAGTGCAACCACGTCACAGCACTGCGGCACCTGTGCAGAGACCCCAGGCTCAGGGAAGTCCCCGAGTTCCTTTTCAGCAGTGACTCAAGAAGGCTGCTCTGTGAGATTCCCTGTAGGACTAAGCCCAACCCCTGGTCTTGGGCACACAGTGACCACTTACTCACTCCTAGGAGATCCGTGGCTGCTCTAATCTGGAAGCTGACAGCAGGTATGAGAAGTTACACATTGTTTTACATTTACAGTATGGCTTTTCCCAGGTATCTAAATGCACCTTGTATGTATTGGATAATGCTGCTGTCAGACTCTGGTAGTTCAAACTTTAGGACAGCCCTTGGCACGCAGGGTGGGCTAAGCACTGCAGAAGTGCTGCCTTAGAGACCAAGCGTTGGTAGAGTAGCTGACAGTGGCACTCTCCATAATTGCCTTGTAGCCAGTATACAAAGATAATGCACTTTTGACACTGGCCTGGTCAGAGCAAGTTTGTACCAGCATTGGCTTTTTAAGTCTCTTTCAAGCACAAACCTAGAAACAATAGAGAATGAGAATTGAGTTTGCAGGTGAACAAAGGCAGGTATTGCTGTAGTAACCCCGTATCTGAGGAAAAATGAAGCATTTTCTCATATGGGTTTGAAAATTGATTTTTTTTTTTTTTTTTTTTTTTAATGGCTTCTGTCAGCTTCTTTTGTAGGCCAGTGCAGGTGGGTTCTAAAAACCAGGAATCTCTTATGTTGCACTTTCCAAGCAAAGATGTCAAGGTGCTTTCTGTGTGTTGACAATGAAAACTCAGGAATCCTTTAGAGGAGGTGGGAGAGAGCAATACTGTCTCCAGTATAGGGACAGGGCAAAGGAGTGGGCATGTTTCCCGAAGATGAGTGAGTAATGCAACCATTTCAGCATCACATTAGATCAGAACCTGAAATCTCAAGACTCTTTCACCATATCATCTAATTACTCTACCTCTCAGTATTGCTGAGATCTCTTCTTCTAATGGAGAAAGGAGGAAGGCATTTTATTTCAAAGAATTTTTGCTGCCTTCACGTTGTCCTCTTTACCTCCCTTTCAACCTTACACCACCTCTGACTTGTTTTTGTCACCGTTCACCCTGCCAAGCCTAACAGGCAGCTTTCACTGGCTTATAGCAGCCCTTGGGTAAAGCCTGCCTTAGGTTGGGTGCTGCACCGCCTGCCTGGGATTTGCAGTCTCGCAGAGCGCGAGACGTAAAAGAGCTCTTTCTGGAGGAGAAATTCAAATAGCTTCCTCTGTTTTAGCCAGTTCAACAAAAAGTTTTTCCAGATAGGAGAAGGAGGTCATCTGTATCCACTGCATTCATGTGAAATAGTAGCATCTTTTTGAATCACAACTAAACCCTCCTGGTTTGGAAGCTGATGTGTCCCTGTCCTCCAGCCTGTGTCATTAGAGACTGGCAAGTATGCTCATTTCTGGAGGACACCTGTGTTACAACACAACATAGACACAACCTTTTTCCTTCAGGTAGGCTCTAGGTCACGTGAGCAGATGCCAGCAGACGGGTATTCCAGCCTCTGCTGCGTGCCAGGCAGGGCCCAAGCTGGTAAGGCCTCCACTCAGGCAGCATTCCAGTGCTTACGCTGTCTGCGGATCAGTCCTTCAGGAAGTTTGGTTTGTACCTCTGTGTATCACTCCCAGTGAGTCCCAGTTGATTTTCTTGTGAATCTTGCAGCCAGACTCCTTAAGTTGTGCTGGGCTGATGTTCATGCATTTACCGGTGTCTAGATAGTAAATCTCTAAGCCAAATTCTGGTGTGTGTGATTTCAGAAGCAACATTCCCCCCTGACAACAGGAACACTAGTGCTCTGGAGAGAACGTGAAAGCGTGCTGCTCTTGGGACTAGCTCATGTTATGTACTCTCTGCCTAAACACTCCTTGGTGCCTGCCTTGAAAATAAATAAATAAAAGATATAGGTAACTGTTCTTAACTGTTTTTATTCCTTCCAGAACTTGCTGTATCCAGATCTTGACCTGGATGGTCTCCTGGCTCTTTACAAGCTTTTCTGCTTTCTAGACTAGTCTTGTTTTAGGCAGTTGTATGTTGCTTTCCTAAAACCCTCTCTGGAATTCTGGCTGGTAACCCTGTTCTTTAAGAGTTAACAAAACTGCAGGTTTCACACTTCCTATTGGAAAAGCAAGGGCAGGGACCTGCTCTGCTGATCAATCACTTCTTAACCCTTAAAGGCAGATACTGGCAAACATGCAGCAGTCCTCCTGTTTATCGCTGTGTGCAACTACAGCTTTCCAACTGCTATTTGTCATGGTTTAACCCAGCTGGCAGCCAAACACCACGCAGCCGCTTGCTCACTCTCCCCTGCCCCGGGGAACAGGGGACAGAATGGGAGGGGTAAAGGTAAGGAGACTTGTAGGTTTAAGATACAAAAAATTTAATAAGTTAAATAAAATAAAATCGAAAGAATAATGATAATAGTAATAATGGAATGTACAAATGAGTGATGCACAGTGCAACTGCTCACTACTTACCGGCCAATGGCCAGCCCCTTACTGGCTAGTGATCCTGGAGGAGAGAAAATCCTGGAAGAGGAGGAGTGAGCTTTCCAGCCAACTCTCATTTATATACTGAACATGATGTTATATGATATGGAATGTCTTACTGGCCAAATTGGGTCTGTTGCTCTTGCTATGCTCCTACCCAGCTTGTGCAAGTCCTTCTTGCACACCTGCACACTAGCAAAGCAGTTGAAAAGTCCTTGATTTCTTAGCAACAGCTAAAACCATTAGTATATTCTCAACATTCTTCTCATACCAAATCCAAACCTCTGCGATTCTAGCTACTAAGAAGAAAATTATCTCTGTCCCAGCCAAAACTAGGACACCCCTGCAGAAAGTGTGTGCGTGCACGTTCTTTGCTGGCCTGCCTCATGTTCACCCCTGTTAGCTCTGTGGCCCATGTGTGTGTATCTCTCTGTCCATCCCTGACATCTCAGCATGGTGTATTACTCTGCCTTGGTGAGATGGGAAAGGGGGGAAAAAGGGAGTGACTTCAAGCTTCTTGCTGGGAAGTTTGATGGTGGTAAGTGACCTTACACTCCTCTGAGGCTGAGCAGGGAAGGAACCTCCACAGGAGGGCTGTGGCTGGTCTGCGTGTTCACCTCAGACTCCTGCAAGTCTGATCTCAACTGTTTTGCAGAATGAGTCCTCAGGGTGGAAGTCTGGGGTCCGGTTGCCTGGGTACAATCTCCAGTGGTGTTATACTGGCAGTCAGCCTTGGTCATGTTAGTGACTGTTGCCTTATTTTCTTGTGTTTAAACCAGTTTGACGTGTTATTCCTTGACATGCTGTTAAGGCAGTGCAGCACGGAAAATGGTTTATTATTCTTTTTTCTATGTAAGCAAGAGTGCTCAGCTTTTCTAAGTGGTTAACAGATTGGGTTTTGGCTCTTTGTCTCTGGTAGGTTACTGGCCTTCATACAATATCCCTTTCCATGAAAAGATTTACAACCTCAGCGGGTATGCGGCATACGTTGAGAAGTATGGCATGGATTTCTCTTACGAGCTTGCTCCAAGAGCAAAGATCTTCCGTCGAGACCAGGGCAAGGTGACCAACTTGGAAAGCATGAAGTACATCATGAGATACAACAGTAAGACATGTGTTTATGTACTGTGGAGCTGATCTTAATGAAGCAGTGTTACTTTTATTTCTTGGATTATAGTGTGAAGCTGCAGCCTCACATCAGAGTTACGTTACCCTGGGTGCAGAGTACACACAAAGCAAAAAGATAACGCAAACTTATTGTCGAAGTAGGAAACCAGGCTAAAATTACTCCTAACAGAAATAAGACTGGGTTCCTTCTAGCATAAGGCCCCTTGAGTTTGCTATTTGACCTTTCCAGAGAGCTTCTTACACTCCAAGAGACTCTGTGGTCTGCTGTTACCTAATACATCTATAGCCTGTCAATCTTGAAAGCCTTAAATCCTAAGCAACAGGTTAGGTCAGACCAGAAAATTTCAGACCTTTTTATCCTGTTCAGGCAAATGATCTTTGGTAGCTCTGCTCTGCTTTTCCCTGACAGAGTTATCTTTAACTGGATTAAAACCAGCTTAATGAACTTCTGGACAAGCCCATCTCTAAGTACAGATAGCTTTAGGTGCTATCTTTTTATTTCCAAATATAGGGAGCATGCTGATTACTGGGCTTGGGGTTTGGGAGGCCTCTCCCAGGGTGGGCTATCACTACTGTTTGGGCTTTGAGTAGCAGCATGCTCATAGGTGTTGAGGCTTGTCCACCTTCACCTCCTAGCTTGCAGCTACTACAATGGGTGTTCAAAGGCTTTTCTCCGTGCCACTTATTTTAGTCCAGAACAGGAAAACAAATGCTCTCACTGCTGCACTTTTCCTTTCCCTTTCCCCCACTTCCCTTTCTCTTGTACTTTTCCCTCCTGACAAAATTCCTGCAAGCTTTTGTCATGTGGAGTTGCAGATGTTTGTGGTTAGAGGTTGTCAGCGGTGCCCCTGGGATGCAGAAATACTGTATGGACTTGGATTAGGAACTTGTCTACTTAACGTACTGTCTCAAACACTGACTTCTAACTGGCATCTGGGGAGGAGGGTGAGAACAATGTGATAGACCTGTGTTTCTGCCAGCACGCTTACCCAGCTTTTACTGGCTCAGGCACTTTGCATCAGCTTTTTGTGAGAGGATTAACTTGTTTTCTTCTCTTCCTTCCTTCCTTCCTTCCCTCCCTAACATGTTTCTCCCCAGACTACCAGCGTGATCCTTATGCCGAACACAATCCTTGCAACACCATTTGCTGCCGGGAGGACCTGAATCCTTCTTTTCCAGTGCCTGCAGGCTGTTATGATTCCAAGGTAAATTACCTCAATTTCAATATCTGCTGATTGTTTCCTGCAGCCTGTTTGTGCTCCTGTCGGAGCTGTAGCATGTTTCCCTGCACCAGGGCAAAGAATTATGTCCATGGGAACTTGTGGCATTTAGGGGTTAAACCCCAGAGCCTTGAAGGAGGAGGAGCCTAAAGAGAAGGCTGAAATGAGTCTTCACATCACCCTGTGAAGGTGACTGTTGTACAGCCTCAGCCTCCTCTTTGTGGGGACTGTGTGGCTGCCTCCCCAGAGCCCAGAGGAATATATTTTTCAGTCTGTTTTAGCTTTATTGTTACAAAAGCCTGGCTCCCTAGTGAGCCACCCTGCGCCAGGGCTCCCCCTCTCTGTGAAACTGCTTTGAGCCAAGTTTGGTAAAGGTCACTGCTTTCTGGGGGATACAGGAAAATCCTTAGACCCACTGTCTAGGGGAAAGCAGCAGTTTTTTTAGGCAGCTTGTCAGGCATTTTCACTGTGAGAGGCAATAACTGAGTAAGCAGCTGTCCAGCCCTCGTGTGCTGTGGGATCCAGCCTGCTGCGTTTCTGAATTGAGTTTGGTTCCTAGGATGGGCCTTGTTCTGGCATTGCCAGTGCTTTGTGCCCACTCAGCTTGCAGAAGTCCAGGCCAGCTGCCTGCTGTAGTGGCCAGCAGGAGCTCCCAGAGCTGGTTATGACGAGATGAATACAGAATATTGCTCTGTAGAGGTGCCTGGTAAGAGGGCAGGTCACTGCACGCTGGTTGTGGTGCCTTTGCCAGCACAGTTAGGCAAGGGGAATGGGCTGGGCTTGGGGAGGACAGGGGACCCAAGAGGGGCATTGAGAGAAATATCCTGAGCAGGCAAAACCTGGCAGTTATAAACACTACAGGCAATTTTATTGTCTCTGAGTTTGGGAAGATGGAGCAGACTGGGGACCTCTCCTGAGATGATGAAGGAACAGGGCAGAGTCTGGGCAGCAGTATTAACTCTGTGGTGCCTTTGTCCTTTCCTGAATTACCCTGACACGGACAGCCCAAGTGTTTAACACTCAGCAGAGCTTAGGTCAAACCCTCTAGGCTGCCTGCAGCAGCTCCAGCTCTTCTGGAGACACCTAAACACAGGGAGGACTGTCCTGAGGGCAGATGTGCTGCCTCTCTCACCCTGGGTAGCTAAAGGGCAGGAGGGCAACGTGGGCTTGTGCTTTGGTCCTGCCCTTCAGCACTCGCTGCTCCGTGGCTGACGATGCCTCTGTGCAGGGGAGGAACGTGGCCTGACCGGCGTGCGTGTCCCCCTGCTCACTTTCTTTGTTGTTATTGAATCTCCCGCAGCTGTTCCTGCTCTGTGGGATGGGTGCACGTCAAACACCTCTCAGCCTTCGTGCCCTGAACTCCTGTCCTTTATTACAGGTGTCAGACTTCCGCCTGGCTTCAGCATTCACAGCCACTGCAATCAATGGCCCCCCAGTACAGGGCGGTCTCCCTGTCTTCACCTGGAGACGGTTTAACCACACACGACACCAGGGCCTGCCAGAATCATACAACTTTAATTTCATCACCATGAGACCGATCCTGTAAAACAAGCATCAATATTCTCAAATGGATTTTTTTTTTAAATGGAAATTTTCATCCCTCTATGTAATAAATTGACGTGGATGTCCACGTCCCTGTGCCTTACCTGCTTTCCCTTCTCCTGACTGCTAGGTGCTTTGTACTGACATTGGCTGCCTCCATGCAGCCCAGTGCTCTTCTGAGCTGTTTGGGTGGCCTTTCCTCTGACTAGGATTGATGGGAAGCAGGTGTAGCACTGCTTTCTGGTGACCTGAGCCATCACCACAGCTGTTCCAAGAGCAGGAGTGAACTGCAATGCAATCAATGAGAGCGATCTATCCCTAGTAGCAACATGAGTCCTGCTTCTAGAGCTGGGTCAAGCCAAGTGGCAGCTCTGTGACCTTATCTCAGTGCTTTTTGTCTGAGCTGTGCCTGCAAGATGTGCTGCAAATTGCTTCTCATCCAGGAATGTCTCTACTGGAGAGAGTCCAGGCGGTCTTCTCCAAGGCAGGTCAGTGTGCCTTTGGGCTTTCAGTGGCGTTTGGAATGTTTCCTTTGTCTCACCTAAGCAGTATGCAAGGGTCAGGCTGCAAAAGGTTGTACAGGGATGTGCCTGGTGATTTCTGAAAGCAGCCTGATGCTGCACACCCCACCCTCTCCCCCCACCTCAGGCTGCAGTCTAGTGGCCCGAACTGTGTGTGTGTCCATGCAATGGAGCACTTGCTGATCAGCCCATGCAGTTGTTCAGTGGCCTTTTTGCCTGCTCCCTCAGCTGTGGAAGTAAAATGTGGCAGTGAGGTGGCTGTGAGGGCCAGGGCTGTATGTGCTACTCTTAGTTTCCTGTGTTTACACTGAGGATTGAGTCACTGGGCTGTTTTGTGCTACATGATATACATGTAATTAAGTAAAACAAAACAAACAGCTCTTTCCTCATGGCCTTGATGGTCCAAGCTAATCAGTGCACAACACTGCCCTGTATTATGCACTTGAAAAATGAGCAGTGTGATGTTTTGATCAAGGCCCTGGAGTTTAGCTGATGTGATGGGGAAGGGAGTGAGTTACTGAAGCATGGGGGATGTTCTACCCAAAATATTTGGCTGTTACAATAGGGTTGATTTCTGCCAAGGGAAGAGGGAGACCAGAAGTTACTGCAAAGCTTTTACTGAGGATGAAAAATCCATGCAGGGACTGAAGTGATTTTGCTTGCTGGAGCAGAAGGAGGTAAGTGTGAGAGGCTGGAGAGAGCATCTGCCATGTGCAGGGGTAGGAGAGCACCTTATAAAATGACTAACTGCTGAAGTACTGACCACAGAGCTGCTTTTTGCTCTGCAATACAACTCTTTTGGGGAAAAAGTTGCTGAGCAAAATGACTCAGCTGTGGTACCCAACCAGGCACAGCCGCACCGTGAGTGTAGGCATTGGTGTGTGTGGCGGTTGCAGCTGTGCCCGTGCGAGAGGGGAACGCGTGTGACGTTTGTTTGGTGCCTCTTGTGAGCCAAAAGCCATGGCAATGCTGCACAGGTGCTTTCTGCCAGAGGTGGAGGAGGGAGGTATCCCTAGTCATGGACGGTTAAACACAGCACCCTCTCCCTTTACTTCTGCCCTCGAGGTTTGCTGTCAGTGGGGGTGTCCTGCTCACCCACAGCTGGGATGGCAGAGACCTCAGCTTCTGGGTGAGGTGTTGCCCCTCCGTGGCTCATCCTTGCCCCAAGCCCTGTGCGTATGTAGCATGTGTCATGTTTTGCAATCCCAGCCACTTCTCCCTGCCCTGTTCTGGCTGTGGAATTGTGATGTCCCCCTGAGCACGATCAGCAGCACTCAGCCAAACATCCTCTGTGTTGGGCCCTGGCGGCAATAAGTGTCGGGAAGCTCTACCTGCTGTGTGTCACTTACCTTGTGTTGTTTGCTGGGAGCTTGTGAAGGCCTGTCTGTTGTTCTGCTGGACCATCATCGAGGGTGGCTCACCCTCTGCCTGGTTTGTCAGCTTTTTGAGCTTTCACTGGGATTCTGATTGCAGCTCCAGCCTTACAGGGCAGCAATCTTGATGCTTTTTGGCTAAGGACCAAATATGAACTAAGCACTTTATGTGTAGCCCTCACGTGTTTGCTGCTGATCATTGCCTTGAGGGATGTTTTAAACTCCTGTACTGGAGTGGCAGCTGCAAAGCCACTGCCACAGACTGGACTGAATAGGCTGTAAAATGCATTAAGGAGCACAGTTTAAAGAATGAAGGGACCTGGGCCACAAAGGGCAGTACAGGAATCCCAGCTGACAGCAAGTAAGAGAACCAAGAATCAGGTGCTTGTTGAAACTGGAAGCATGGTGACTGGAGGATGGCTGTTTGCTACTTGACTGTCACTCCAACACTGGGTGAAAAGGCAGTAAATAGAACCTGCGATCTTCTATAAAAATACTAATGGAAAAGTATTGTTTAAAAGTTGGCCCCCAGGGCCCAGGAAGTTGCCAGTTGATTACTGTGTTGGACAATATTCTTCCACGCACACCCGGCTGCTCACCCCTGCAGGGAACGGGGCAGCAGCAGATCCAAGATGCCCATTGGTAAATACGCATGGAAATGGGAGCTCTGCCTTTCTGCCACCTTGAGCCTCCTTGAGTTGCTTTGTGCTCACACCTAGAGCTGTGGGAAAAACAGAGCTCTACTTTCAGGAGCCCTTTTCTATGAGTAAATGTTTACATCAGTGGTGCCGTAGGATGGTAATCCATGTGACTATGGTTATTTTTCTTGCCTTTGATGGTTGTGCTGTTAAAGGTCACCACATTCCTCTTACCGTGCTGTCCTACGTGCTTCTGCTGGCAGCAGGCTAGCCTGAGTTGATCTGCCAACCATGACCACAACTGCTGGGTCCAGCTCCCCTCCCCAGCACAGCAACATCAGGGGCCAGAGGAGAAGGCTTTGACTGGTGCTGCATGGACCTACAGCCAGGGGCAATTCTCTGGCAGCTCCATATTAAAAGGTCTCTTGCAGCATCTTAGTCCCTCTCTGCTGACCTCCCTAGGAAGAAAAGGGGAAGGTGTGCTCTAAGCAGAGGATTTGTGGCAGAAGCTGCCCCCTGTTCACACACTGCTTCCACGTTTTTCCAAGTCCTGTGGCTTCCACCTTTTAAACTTAGGTTTTCAGATTTGGCTGGACAGGGACTTACTTGGTTGCAATAGTAAAAAGAAACCTGCTGTTCAGTCACTAGCGAATACCTCCTGCCAGCAAGACATCCCCACAGTTACTTCTAATGCAATCTTTAGCTTCCTTTACCCATCTTCCTTTCTGAAATCCAGTAGATAGATGACTTGACCCTGCTTACCCTTCCTAGTTGAGCACACAGGCACTAGGGGTCCTACCCTGCATGGCCTCAGCTCTCACAGGTGCCAGCAATCTGTCACCAGCACCCTCGGCTCTTGTCGCCAGAGACACCCCTGCAAGGTCTAACCAGTACCTGGCTAGAGCGAAACTGCACAGCACCCCCCAGGCAGTAACCAGTTGTATTTGTGTGTCAGTGCCTGGCAGTGTGCTGCTGCCTCAGATAACTTCTTGGCCAGCTCCCTCTTTTTTAGTTTCCTTGTGTTACACGTAGAAGCACGGGTGGTCTCCAGAGGTGCACTCTGCTGTACGTACATTCTGCTCTGGGGGTGTGGCACTTCTTTCCAGCCATACCATTGAGTCAGAGTGACTGCTCTGGATGTTCACTTACTCACTTTGCTGTACACCAGCACAAACTGCAATTACAGACATGCTTGAGCAGAGTGGTTACACCATGTTTTATGATAAAAGCAATAGTGTCAACTATGTGCAGTATGTAGACTCTTCTTATTCTAAATAGGCACTTTGAGAAACTGAGGCCTTTCAAGTGTGATTGGGTTCAGGCATCACTCCACAAGAGTCCATCATCTTCTGGTCAGTGACTGGAAGCAAGTTTTACTAAGTGCCAGGACACTTAATTATTACCATCACAAATGAATTATATGCCCTTGAAGTACAGGCTCAGCACTAACTCAGGGTAGGCACGTCAGTAACTCCATGTTTTATGTTCTCCATTTGAGCTCTCTACAGTTCAGCAGCAGAGTTGTGTGCAAGCAGCAGCTTTTGCCATACTGCCTTCTAGTAAGGCACTTTATTGCTTCTCAGCCAAGTTGTACACATATTGCATCATGCTGTGTACCTGGCTTCTACCCTCAAAAAGCAACAGGGTAGTGGGCAGAGACTTTCTTGGTCCATGCACTAAAACACCCTTTTTATTACCCTTGACAGATGCAGTGAGTTCTGTGTACAACAGCTTCCCCCTGGCTTGAGAAGCCTGGCCAGTCAGGCAGGCCGAGACCACTGCTGCAGGCTCAAGCCTCGGCTGTGTTTAAGGGTGCTGTGAAAAAAACAAAGTCACCTCCTGTACTTCATCCAAAGCCTCTTGCTAAAAGAATGACCATTTTTTCAGAGGTCAAACCCTTGCCAGGAGAGGAGTAGCACCAGCAATCTCGATTCCATTCCTGTCCCCATCTGTGGCAACTTTAGGGTGCAAATTACTTTATCTGTCCAGGATACAGAGACCCTCTCTGGTGACCTTCCAGAAGTCATAGCATTGCTTTTGTTTTTTGCTGCTGTGGGGAGGCTGGGAGGGCAGCATCCTGCAGTTGACTTTCTGGGAATGACCTAGAGACAAACCATCGCTGCTCAATGTTACTTGAGCAAAGTGGCAACGCTGCTTAAGAGGAAGAGCACTCACCGGGCTCTTTTTGAAACAGCTGTCTCCTGAGGTGCCTGGAACTAAGCACAGATGACTCAAAATATTAAAACCCCAGTAGTTTATTTCAAAGTATAAATTTCAGGCTTGTCAGACAAAAGCCCACTGCAGTTAACATGGACACACACACTGATCTACAGTACGTACAAAAAACGGGGAGAGCTTGCAACTGCTCAGTTTAAATTGGACATTAAATGAATCCTACTTTTTTTTTTTAAATTTATTTACAAGTCCAGCTGCAAAGCAAAACAAGAAATCAGATTTTGAGTTTCCTAACGAAGGATTTTGCACATTTGACTTCCAATAGCCAATAAATTACTAAAGCTGAACAGAACTCCCCAAACAGCTTTTGGGGATACCCAGTTATTT